GCTATCACGTCTAAATTGTTGGCACACTACAATCCCAGGTGAGATATAGTGCTGACATGCAATGCCTCCCATATGGTATTGGGGTAGTGTTGGCTCACTAGTGGCTCAGCAGAGAGGTACACCTAATAGCACATGCTTCCTGGACTTTGGCTAATGCCGAACGAAGATATGCCCAGATAGAGAAGGAAGATTTGGTGTGAGAAAGTTCCACCAATACCTTTATGGAAGTACATTTGTCACAGTAATAGACTACAAACCCCTGCTAGGGCTACTTAACGTAGGCAAGGTGGTCCACCCATAGCTTCAGATCGAATTCAACGGTGGGCTCTTAATGTGAGTACATATAATTACAAGTTGGAACACTGTCCGGGAGGCCAAGTGGCAACTGCAGATGCCTTGAGCCACCTCCCACTGGCAGATATACCACCAGTGGTGCTGCCACTAGACTAGTCTGTTCTAGTTTTAAACTTTCTGGATACCCTTCCGGTCACCACTGACAATATCAGATTGTGGACACAAAAAGATCCCATTCTGTAAAAACTAAAACAGCTGGTGGTGATGGTGGAAACAAAAGGGCCATCACAACCAGAATTGAAATCTCTCTGGACCTGGCAAGACCAAATCACCATAGAGAACAGCATATTATTATGGGCAGCAATAGTGATTGTCCCGAGCAAACATTGCTGCCAGGGTCATCCAGGGGTTGCCAAAATAAAGAGGTTGTTAAGACGTTTTGTCTGGTGGCCAGGACTGGATGCCAACATAGCCATGTTGGTGGCGCAGTGCCCAGAGTGCCACCAAGGACAAAAATTACAGCCAGCAGTTCCGCCACTTTTGTGGGAATGTCCAGGTAAACCCTTGATTTGATTGTATTTGGCTATGCCAGTCTGTTCATGGGCTTTGTGTTTTTAGTAATTGTGGATGTTCATTCAAAGTGGTTGAACATGCAAAGGGTTTAATTGTCAAACATGGGGACAATGATTGAAAAGTTGCAAGCATCTTTTACAATACATTGACTCCCAGAGGTATTGGTCACAGATAGTGGGCTATCACTTACCAGTAGAGAATTTGAGTATTTTCTAATATCAAATGGCATTTGGCATGCAAGGACAACTCCAAACCATCAATTGTCCAGTGGTCTGGTGGAAAACAGCAGTCCAAACTTTGAAAGCAGGCTTAAAGAAACAGCCTACAGCTTCACTCAATACCAAGCTGCCCTGGTTCCTGTTTGATTTTAGGACCACACCTGAAGCAACTATGGGGATAGCTCCAGCAAAACTGCTAGTGGGGAAAAGACTCTGCTCTAAGTTAAACCACATATTCCTGGACCTGGGGTGGTGGGGTGAAACGGCATCGGGAACGCCAATACTGGACACAAGACTCCTGTAAGTGAGAGAGACAGTTCACTTTACCGGAAACAGTTTGATGCCAAAACCACAGGAATGGTCCCGCATGGATAAGAGGTACGGTCGACGCGAGGTCAGGTTCCGTGACGTACAACGTTCGAGTAAGAGAGGCAGTCCTGAACAAGCACATGGACCACATGAAAGCTGCAACCTCACAAAGGGGGCAGAAGCAAAACATACCCAGACCCTCAGAACATCCAGCAAGGCTGCCAGAATTTGTGAATTCTCATCCTCCACCTTGCATTGAAGAAACCTCTTACGACAAGAGACACGGCAGATATCACAGCCTCAACAAGTTACCACCCGCAAAAGATGAATTTCAGCCAAGATGCTCTGCGCACAAGATGCAGGCTATGGTCCAGTACATGCCGCTAGTGTCCGAGTCAGAATCAGAGGAACCAGACCTGGTGTGAAAATGACCCAGGGGAAGCTACAAGAGAAAGAATGGGCCTTTGTCTCAGGGCATACAGGGGAACAGATGGAGTGATTGTATCAAGATCAGCCCGGTGGATGTCATAGAATATGAGCTCCCTGATTGAGGGAATCTGGTCCAACCAGGGAGTTCTGGCTGACAGATATAAACAAGAGTGTCAGGGGTTCTGTTCAGCCTAGGAGCTGGCTTTGAGCTCTGAGCTAGCTGGGTCAGTGTCATGTACCATGTATTTGTAAATAAAAGGTGACGATGATGGGATACTGGCCTTCATGGAGTTATTTCATACCCCATTAATGTTAACAAATATATTGTTAGGCAGTTAGAATTGTGAACCTTCAGGCATGCAGGAGTTTTTAAAAGATTATTCACTGGTGAGGTGTTGGCATTTCTGACCGTGCCAGCATTGGTCGCCCATCCCTAGTCGCACTGGGATGATGGCCGCCTTGAACTGCTGCAATCCATGTGCTGTAGATAGACTCACAATGCCATTAGGGCGGGAACACCAGGATTTTGATCCTGCGACAGTGAAGGAACAGTGATACATTTCCAGGTCAGAATAGGTTTGGTGGGGAACTTGCAGGTGTGTTGTATCACTATACCTGTGGCACTTGCACTTCTAGATGGTAGAGGCCATGGGTTTGAAAGGTATTAAGAATCTTTAGACAATTCCTAACACATCTTCAAGGTTGTAGCAGCAGTGTATACACAGTGTTGGTGGTAGAGTAACTGAATGTTTGTGGATGCGGTGCCAATCAAATGGGCTGCTTTGTCCTGGGTGGTGTCAATTTTCTTGAGTCGTCTTGGAGCTGTAATCACCCAGGCAAGTGGGGAGTATTCCATCACATTCATGACTTGTGCCTTGTAGATGGTGGACGGGCTTTTGTGGAGTCAGGTGATGAGTTATTGGCTGTAGTATTCCTAGCCTCCAACCTGCTCTTGTAGCTACTGTATGCATATAAAGTCAGAATCACAGATCATACATGAAAATAGACCCTTCGGTTCAACTTGTCCATGCCAACTAAGTATCCAAAACTGAAGTGGTCCCATTTGCCTGCATTTGGCCCATATCTAAGGTTTTGGAGTAGATCTGTAGCTCAGGTTGTGGGTGTTGCGGTTGGTTGGCTTGCCAAGCTGGTTTGTTGTTTTGCAGATGTTTCATTACCATGCTTGGTAACATCCTCAGTGCAGCCTCCGATGAAGCGTCGGTGTGTTTTCCCGCCTGGTTTTTAAACTTTGGGGTCCGTTGAGATTGATTGCCTCACTTCCGGTTTTCCTTCATAGTGGAACGTATATGGGGTCGAGTTCAATGTGTTTATTAATAGCATGCTTCGTGGAGTGCCATGCTTCCAGGAATTCTCGTGCTTGTCTCTGCCTAGCCTGTCCCAGGATCTTGGTGTCGTCCCAGTCGAAGTGGTGGTTCTCCTTGTCCATGTGGATTGAGATGAGTGAATGTTGGTCGTGTCTTTTTGTAGCCAGTTGGTGTTCATGTACTCTTGTTGTTAGCTTCCTTCTTGTTTGTCCGATGTAGTGTTTCTCGCAGTCTCTGCAGGGGATTTTGTAGATGGCATTGGTCCTGTCCATGGCGGGGAGTGGGTCTTTGGTTTGGGTGAGCAGTTGTCATAGGGTTGACGTGGGCTTGTGTGCCACTCTGATGCCCAGCGGTCGTAAGAGTCTTGTGGTGAGTTCCAACATGTTCCTGATGTAGGGTAGTGTGATGTGTGTCGGGGTGTGTAGAATCTTTCTGATGCTGTCCGTGTAGGCATCTTCTGACCCAGTTCTTTGGATATCCATTATCCTTGAACACTTGGAAGAGGTATTCTTCATCCTCTTGGCGTAGTTCCATGTTGCTGCAGTGTGATTAACAGCCTCAATCAGGGAACTCATTGTATGAGGTCCACCTGGCTAACCTCGTTCCAATCACTGTGGGCTACTTGCCATACAAGACCCATAAGACCATAAGAAATAGTAACAGGTTTAGGCTATTCGGCTCCTCAAGCCTGCCCTGCCATTCAATAGGACTATGGCTGATCCAACGTTACTCACGTCCGCTTTCCTGCCCCTTTCCCATAACCCTTGATTTCCCTTACTGATCAAAAATCTATTCCAGCCTAAAATATACTCAAAGACTCTGCTCCTATCACTCACTGTGGCAAGGAGTTCCAAAGACACTCGACTCTCTGAGAGAAGAAATTTTAAAAAAGGAAGGCCCTAGAAGGACTGAAAAAAGACAAAAACATCATAATACTACCAGCGGACAAAGGGCGCATGACCGTAATGCTAAACAAACTGGACTCCCTCACTAAAGCACAGACACTACTAGCAGACAAGAACACATACCAAGTGCAAATAGATCCAACACCGCAACTGGTAATAAAGTAATCAACACACTAAAGAGACTCAAACAGACCGGACAAATCAACAAAATGGACTACCTAAAAATGAAACCAGAGGGACAAACCCTCCCCCCGGCGATTCTACGGTCTCCCAAAGATGCACAAGGAAGTGCCCCTCAGATCCATAGTCTCCCTCCCAGGCACACCAACACATAGGTTAGCCAAGGAGTTATAACGAAGACGAAAGCACCTTGTCAGCAAGTCACCCCACTCAATCCACTCAGCCCAGGAGCTCCTCAAATCCCTCAAGGACATAAGAATACACGATGACTCTGATTGTGCCGCAACATTCAGTTATTGACAGCAAGATGAGTTCCATCATCTAGGTCACCTATTACCACCACTCCGTACCTGATTTTCACCACAGCATCTAGATCTGCCCTAGTTTGTCCTTCTGTGACTCAGTGTTGAAATTTGAATTTTGTTTAATAATAATCCTACAAAGCACCTAAGGATGTTTAATCATGTTCGGTGTGCTGTAAAAATTCGAGTTGTTGAAATTAATCTGTACTAGGCTGTAATAATTCTGATTTAGGCGATGTGGATTTTTTTAAGTGTTAACACACAAATTTAACAACATTTGTTGCATTACATGTTTAACGATATGAATATGTAGTTAATGTTTCGACTTTATACTTTGTTAGCTGTCATTTATCCACCAAATCTCAATCCATCGACCTCTGTCTCTTGGTTTGGCCTGAATAAAGCTTGTTTTTACAACTTTACTTCCGGGCTTTAAAGTAAATATTGTTTGTTCTATTTTAACAGGGACTTACCTCAGTATGGTCAGAAACAATGGCAGTCATATTTTGGGCGTACTTTTGATGTTTACACTAAGCTCTGGAAATTCCAACAACAGCACAGGTTGGGAGAGTTTTGTTTTATAGTCTATGCAATGAAATAATATTTTGTTTGCAACAAATTATTCCAAAGTAAAGAAAATGGATACGATTGATACTATCACCTGACATACTTTTTGTTCGGGTTTGGTTGCAGTAAGTGACTCCAGCATAATATACTTGGTTAGATGAAATTAGTAACATTTGTAGGCATCTTTTTTCTCAATACAAGTAACTTCCCTTAAGAGTTAGTTTAGTGAAGTTTATAAAGTTCACTTAATCAGTTTATGTTTCAGTTAAGGATTGAGGTGAGTTCATGAGTAGGCCCTATACAGCTGCCAGAATACAAATACATGTAGTTTCAGTATTGAGGTGAGTGGTCCAACATGCTGCAGGTTTGTTCATAGAAACATAGAAGAAAGAAGCAGGAGGAGGCCATTTGGCCCTTTGAGCCTGCTCCGACATTCATCACAATCATGACTTATTGTCCAACTCAATAGCCTAATCCTATTTTCTCCCCATAATCTTTGATTCCATTCACCCCAAGTACTATATCTAGCCACCTCTTGAATACATTCAATGTTTTAGCATCAACTTCTTCCTGTGGTAATGAATTCCAGAGGCTCGCCACTCTTTGGGTGAAGAAATGTCTCCTCATCTCCGTCCTAAGTGGTCTACTCTGAATCCTCAGACTATGACCCCTGGTTCTGGACACACCCGCTATCAGGAATATCCTACCTGCATCGACCCTGTCTAGTCCTGTTAGAATTTGATAAGTCTCTATGAGATCCCCACCCATTCGTCTGAACTCCAGTGAAAACAATCCTAACCTATTCACTCCCAGTCTCGTCATCCGTGGAATCATCCTGGTAAAACTTTGCTGCACTCCCTCAAGAGCAAGAGCAAGAGCAATCATCAGAAAAGGAGACCAAAACTACATACTGTGACCTTACCAAGCCCTGTATCTCATACTGAAAACCTCTTGCAATGAAGGCCAACACCTGCATGCTTACCTTCAGCAACTGGTGCACAAGGATCACAGGACCTATTGCACGCTCTCCTCTCCCAATTTACAGCCATTCAGGCAGTAATCTGCCTTCTTCTTTTTGCCTACAAAGTGAATAACATCACATTTATCCAAATTATATGGCATCTGCCATTGATTGCCCGCTCACCCAACCTGTCCAGGTCATGTTGATCAGGTTTGACAATGCTGTTCTGATCACCAGGTGAAAGAATTTAATTAGAGCAGGGTCAGTACTTACACCAGTTAAATGCATAAGAAGTGGTATTCACAATGCTCAGTTTTTCAGTCACACAGTCCCACTCCCATTTTGGTGTGAAGGCATTACTGAGATTGCATTTATTTACCTAACTGCTTTACTCAGAAATTATAAGAATGTGGAACTTGCAGTCACTAGAAGTAGTTGAAGCAAATAGCATATATAATTTCTTCGATTGACAGGGTAGCTAGATAACGCGTGAGGTAGAAAGAGAATAGAAAAATGTATTGACACAGATAGATGGAAATGGGAGGAGGCTCATATGGAGCATGGATAAGTTGGGCTGAATGGCTTGTTTCTTTGTATTACAGAGAATTTACAATGTCCAAATCGGCTTTAGGGTGCTAAGTTATATAGTCATGTCAAGAGGAAAATATGCTTCCAACAACTCAACACATCATCTGGCTTTGCTTGATGAAACTGGAGTTGAATTACAGTGATTTGAAGTAATCTGATACATTTTTTTTGTGTACATATGTGCTTAAATTGCTGGAGGGGTGTGGTAAGGACCTCATTCTGTTTAGGTGAGAAAAACAATCATACAGTTTGAAATGTGTTACCATATGATCAATTTTGCCTACATAAGCAATAGGTAATATTTTGCTCTGCATTGCAATATACTCAAATTTTGGTTGAGACTTCAAAATTATTGTAAGTTGCACTTCACTGGCTCTGTAAAACAAATATTCATTGAATACACAAGCACCAAGTTAGAATTTATCCATGCAGTTTCTTTTGAAAGTTTAGTTAATTTGGATAATATATCTTATATGCATGATTGTACTTTACTTTATTATTTGTCCATCATTCATCTTAGGCAAATTCTGGACAATAGGTATGGCCTGAAGAGGTGGCAGATTGGAGAAATTGCTTCAAAGATAGGACAACTCTACTACCATTATTAGTAAGTTAGAATTTTTTGATGTGGTTGAAAGCAAATGAATTACCATGATCACTTTGGAAAATTATTTACTCAAGCACTGAATCTTCCTGATATGCCAACTGAGTGAATTTTATGCAGTCAGTTACCACTTAAGGCGATCTTGTATTTGCAGATGAAAATTAACAGTTAAAGTTGCACTCAGTTGCAGTAGTCCTGTTCTGCCTTGGCTCCTACCTTGTGCTTTGCCTGCTTTGCTTGGGGTTCAAACTTTGTGCAAAAGTGGTGATTAGAAGTAATGTCTGAGGAAACGTCTGCGGGGTGACACTGCTGCCTCACAGTGCCAGGGACGCGGTTCAATTCCATCCTCAGACAATTGTCTGTGTGGAGTTTGCACATTCTCCCAGTGTCTGCGTGGGTTTTCTCTGGGTGCTCCGGTTTCCTCCCACAGTCCAAAGATGTGCAAGCTAGGTGGATTGGCCATGCTAAGTTGCCCATAGTGTTCAGGGATGTGTAGATTAGGTGGGTTATAGGGTGATGGGTCTGGGTGGGATGCTCTGAGGGTCGGTGTGGACTTATTGGGCCAAAGGGCCTGTCTCCGCATTGTAGGGATTCTATGAAATCAGTTTATCTGCTTGTAGTAAGAATTGTAAAATGTGTTACTGATGTCCAATACAAGTAGGATGGGAATTTCTGACTTTTGTAACAGTTTGTCAGGTCAGAAATAGCGTGATGAGAAGTTCATAAAACAGTATTTGGAATGATAATGCACACCACCAAGTATTTCCCCAAATCTTGGTAAACCTTAAAACCTGCTATTCCTGCATCTAAAATTGCATCAAAATGTATTTCACTATGTATTCAGTGGTATGCTTACAATATTCAGGGTTTCTGTCTTCTCTTTTGACGTAGTTACTCAACTTCCTCTTGTAAATGTACTCTGTCTCTCTCTGTGTACTCTCTCTGCCTCTTTGTCTGTCTCTATATCTGTGTGTGTTCTCTCTCTCATGTTCTCTCTCTGTGTGTGTGTGTGTGTTCTCTCTCTCTCTGTCTGTGTGCACACTCTGTGTGTGTGTGCGCGCGCGCGAGCGCTCTCTCTCTCTCTCTCTGTCTGTGTACACACTCTGTGTGTGTGTTCTCTCTCTCTCTCTCTCTCTCTCTCTCTCTCTGTGTGTGTGTTCCCTTTCTCTCTCTCTCTCCTCTCTCTCTCGGTGTACTCCCTCTGTACTTGTTTCCTTTGAATATGAATAGCCTGATAAAACTTGTAAACTATAGTTTTTGAAAAGAATCAAACTTGTAGCCGGCAGCCATTTTTGTAGGTTTTGTTCATCTTTTATAGAATTTTAACATATCTCTCAATGTTTAGCTGCCTTATATTTCTGTTTTTCCTTTCCACACCATCCTAATCTTTAGCTTGCGTACTTCTGAGACCAGTTATCTGAATGAAGCATTTTCCTTCTACTCTGCAATAAGACAAAGGGCTTACTACTCCCAGGTCACTAAGGAAGATAGGTATGCTAACTATTATACATTCATAACTAACTTTTTTGTGTATGTAACTACAAGTATGAACTGGTACAGGCATAACAAATGTTGTATAAAATGTCTTATGTACTAAAATACCCTTATAATATCTGTTTTTATTTCTTTTCATGGACAGTAGTGCTAATGTTTTCATAAAAGGTCTTGACTTAAAAGAGCAAAGTTAGGATAATGATTAAATTATTGTAGAAAATTCAGTTTGTGTTAAATTTTAATTTGTATTAAACTTTTCTTTTACTTTCCTGATTAGTTGGGTCACTCAATGTTTCTTTGCTTTGAATCCATTTGGTTTGCTCACTTTTTGTAGGCCTGAACTTGTAGTTAAAAAGCTACGGTATTATGCACGATACATAGTTGTTTGTCTGCTGCTCAACAAAATGGACCTTGTTGGAGATCTAGTTAAGGTATGGGACTTATTTTGAACTGTGTTTCATATTTATAAAATTTTAGAGATATCTACAATGAAGAAGCATTTGTTTTGGTTTCTTGCATTAACAACTACCTTGCAGTTGATTGAATTCTACAATCTTGGGGAAGCTCAAACAGTATGTGGAAAACTCTGACATCCTGTTAGATCCAGAACTGAGCTAAAATCAGTACTGTTATCAGCAATTTTCATCTCTGTGACATTACCAGCTTCCATCCCTACCTCAACTTTACATGCTGAAAACTATAAATTTTGTTATATAGAAACTGTTTTCCCCAAGTTCTTCTCTGCTGCCTCCTATCCTCAAATATGTCTGTGAGTGTAGGCGGAATGGTTAGTAAGTTTGCAGTTGACTGCATATTGTTGTGGTTTTGTTGTTAGGGAAAATGAAGTAATGATTTTTACTATTTAATATGTTATTCCACTTGGTTTAGTAACAACCCAGGATTATGAAGATGTTGATAGGATATTGAGATAAGAATTGAGATTGAAGGAATGAAAATATATTTTTCCTTACTTTTTTTGCCTTCCTTGAAGGAATAATAGAAGCAGTTCAAGGAGTTACACAAAAACCGAAATTGGAGTATTTCTAATCTCCAATTATTTACTTGTTTGATTCATTTCAATGCATCAACTGAATTTTCAGGTATTCTAATTCATCAGAAATGTACTTTCTGCCATTTTAAAAATCCTGAGGCTTGGAGACTGCTTTGTAGAGCACCTGCGCTCTGTTTGCGACAAACGACAACACCTTCCAGTCGCGAGCCATTTCAACTCCCCCTCCCACTCCCTGGTGACATGTCCATCCTGGGCTCCCTCCAGTGTCACAATGACACCACCTGCAAACTGGACGAGCAGCACCTCATATCATGCCTCGGTAGCCTACAGCCCAATGGCATAAATGTGAATTTTACCAGTTTCAAAATCTCCCCACCCCCTGGCCTCATCCCATGGCCAACCCTCCCTCTCATCCCCACCTCCTTGACCTGACACAACCTGTCCATCTTCTCTCCCACCTATCCGCTCCTCCCGCCTCACTGACCAATCCCCACCACTCCCTACCTGCACTCACCTATCACCATCCCACCTACCTTCCCCAGCCCCACCCCTCCTCTCTATTCATTTCCGAGCTCCCTTCCCCTTCCCCCATTTCTAAAGAAGGATCCCAACCCGAAACGTCAACTTGCCTGCTCCTCTGATGCTGCCTGGCCTGCTGTGTACCTCCAGCTCCATACTGTGTTACCACATATGCAACAGACTGACTATGGTTTTTTCTTCCCCTTTGTCCCTTGAAGGTGTTGTGGCTTTCTAATAAATGATTTTATTTTCTTAATTAATCCTCCATTTTCCAAGTAGTGTGTTTTTTCACAGTTTTAATACTTTTTATTCTTTCTTCGGATGTGAACATCACTGGCAAGATCAGCATTTGTTGACCATCCATTATTGGCCTTGAGAAGATGGTGGTGAGCCACTGCCTTCTTGGAGCTTCAGTCCATTTAGCATCATACATCCACATTATTGTAGTAAGGGTTTTCCAGCAACATAGCACAGAAACGTGGTGTCTGCTGTTAATGCTTATGTGGTTGATTTTTAAAATGTTGAACCATTTATAGCTCCATATTAGGCACTAAACGTAGTTTATAATTTTAACAGGAACTGTCTGATGAAATTGAAGATTATACACATCGGTTCAACACTGAAGATCAGTTAGAATGGAACCTCGTGCTACAGGAGGTGGCAGCATTTGTTGAGGTCTGTTTAATCGTGATCTGGAATTATTGGGACATATTGTAACTAGGAAAATAAGTTCCTCTATTGCCATGTCATTTGTGTTTCAAATTACTTACTACATACTTGTTATTTGGCTATCTTTACAAATTGTTTTCTGTTAATGTTGATGGATATGCATTATTGAAAATTTTAGTTGGTTAAGTTGACTCTTGGTAGATATGACCCTAATGGAAAAGTGATTAGAATCTTTCCAAGTATCAGTGAGATTTGCTATTTGAAATTAGATGGAATTTTATCCATTTTTTGTCAGGCTGTTGGAAGATTTGCTAATTCATAGGACAAGAAGGAAAGAAGTATACTGAACTGCTTCAATAATTGAAATCCACATACTGGCTATCAAGTAACATTGTGCATTATTCATGATTTGATATATGAAGGGGTATGAAATTTTATGTCACCTGAGTTTGACTCATTATGATTTCTGTGTAGTTAAATGATTGGTGGTAGGTGGAGATCAAATGGGGCATGTAAAATAGAATAGAATAAAAACTTTGCCTCATTAAGTTAACATATACCAATTTCCAACCTTGGTTTAAATTCTCTATGATAAGTTATTTTTGTATAAGTCCATTTGAAAACCATTAAGGTTTTAAGAAGTATGAAAGTAATTGACTAGAAATTGGTTATGTCCTAAAAATAGTTTGGATTAGAACTGATTTATCTGTTCCCTGAAGTGTGTGACGTCAAACAGTAATAGATCCATTAACTACTGCTTATCTAAAGTACAAAGATGAAATATTCCAGTGGAACGATTAGCCCTTGTAATATCTTACCCAGATGCCTTCTTGACATTCTTAGAAAATAAATAATCTAATTAAAATCAAGAAGTAATGATTGCACAGTAATCTTGACTATTTTATGCAAATATTTTGGGTAGTATGAATAATTTTCAATGTATTCCACTTTTGATTCTTCAGTATAGTATTTCTGTAACTCACATTGCCAATATAACTTTTATTTATCGATTATGGCTGTACTATTCTCTAAAAGCTTGAGAGTGCCATTTAAAATTGTGAACACCATATCCTTTTACTTTTGTGTTTTTGATTGTGGACTGAAATGGAAAAAGGATTATTTTAAAAACAAAGAATTATAAAAAAAATTACTGCATTTTTAAAAAGCAAGTTATCTATGTGCAGCTTTTTTTAAAAAACAACAGAAGAATATCTGTCATTGTAGTTGTTTTGATCACTATACAAAATGCTCATTGGCAATTTGAAAAAATCTGTTGAGGTCAAAAGGGGGAGTGGGAAGAGGGGGTGCTTCTTGACCCTTCCTTTCATGACTAACCGTATTTGGACTAGGTACTTAAATTGTTGAATTTTGTCGTAAAGGAGTTGGTTTTGTGAATTTTGTCTTTCATTAACTGAGAAGTCATTTAGAAAAATTGATCTTTGAAGGAAAATAATTTTGATCAATTTCGCAGGAGCATCATGTTAATGAACCTAAAATGATGGAATGCTGATTTAAATTGACTGTCTGACTGGGCTAGTGTTTGTACTGCTTTAAACCAAGTTTAAATGTTGTTTGGCCTATTGTTTATAGGCAGATCCTGTGATTGTGTTAAATGATGACAACAGCATTATGGTAACCTCAAATCGCTTGGCAGAGGGAGTAGTCCCACCACTGGAACAAGGCATGGTAGCAGGCCAGCTGGCGCTAGCAGATGCACTAATCGTTGGAAACTGCAGTAGTCAGGTATTTCTTTTTTCTATTGATTTCACAAGTACATTTTCTTGCTGTTATTTTTGTTTTTAAATTTTAGACAGTATCCTGGTAGGTATACATATGTATATATGAAGTTCATGATATTAATAACTACCCTGGGCTGGATTTTACATTTTCCTGTCAGGTTTGAAGGCAGAGGGGGCACACATGGTCCAGTAAGTGACCATCCTGCTCTCTACCCACCCTTAATCTGCCAAATATTTTACGGGAAGCTAAATCAGAACCTGCTGGAAAAATTCAGCAGGTCTGCCAGCATCTGTGGAGCGAAAGCAGAGTTAACATTTTGGGTCCAGTGCCCCTTCTTCAGAAACCAGTTGTGGCTCAGAAAATGTTGGTAGGTAGGCTGAAGATGGGGTATGGGGAGGAGTAAATGATAGGTAGAGATGGAGCCCAGAGAGAGAGAAAAACAGTTGGGCAGACAAAGGAATCGGTAAAGATCATCTTGGGAGAATCAATAGCTGCTAATGGGGACCATTAATAGCTGACAATGTAACAAAAACAAAGTGCTGGAAAAACTCAGCAGGTCTGGCAGCATCTGTGAAGGGAAAAATAGAGTTAACGTTTCGGGTCTGGTGACCCTTCCTTAGTTCTGCCACAAAATGCTGCCAGACCTGCTGAGCTTTTCCTGCAGCTTTGTTTTTGTTCCTGACTTACAGCATCCGCAGTTCTTTCGGTTTTTATTTAGTAGCTGACAATGGGTTGTTTATAATGGTAGCCCATGTGATGACAAGGTCTGGTGCCTGGGGGTTGGGATAAGGACATGAGAAAGTGCTCGGACCCTAAAATCATTAAACTTGATATTGAGCCCAGAAGGCCACAGGGCTCCTAAGTAGAAGATGAGGTGCTGATCTTCCAGCTTGTGCTGAGCTTTTCTGGAGTACTACAGCAAGCTTGAGACAGAGATATTGGCCAGGGAACACAGTGGTATGTTGAAATGGTAGGCAACAGGAAGCTCAGGGTTATTTTTGTGGACAGAATGTAGATGTTTCGCAAAGCAATTACCCATCTGCATTTTGTCTACCTATTGTACAACAGACCACATTGTGAGCAGCGAATACAGTAGACTAGATTGAGTGAAGCACAGGTAAATCACACCTTCACCTGGAATGTATTTCAAGGGCCTTGGATAATGAGGATGAAGGAAGTAAATGGGCAGGTGTTGCACTTTCTGCAATTGCATGGGAAGATGGTGTGTGGAGGTGTTGGGAATGGTGAAGATCAGACCTAGGTGTCAGCCTTCCACAGGAACCGTTCCTTCCAGGACAAGGACTGGGAGGGGAACATATGTCTGATGGTTGCATCCCTCTGGAGGTGGCAGAAATGGCGGCTAATGATCTTTTTGGATATAGATGTTGGTGGAGTGGTAAGTGAGGACCGGGGTACCCTATCACTGATGTGGGAGGTAAGAGAAGGGGTGAGGGCAGAAGTGTGGGAGATGGGTTGGACATAACTGAGGGACTAGTCAACAACAGTAATGAAGAATCCTTGGTTGAGGAAGAAGGTAGACATTTCGGAGGCCCCCTTGTAGAAGCTGGCTTCATCGCAACAGGTGCAATGGAGATGGAGAAACTGGGAAACTGGAGTGGTGTCTTTACAAGAAGCAGGATGTGAGGATGTATAGTCAAGGTAACTGTGGGAGTCAGTGGGTTTGTAGTAGATATTGGTGGCCAGCCTATTCCCAGAAATGGAAACAGATATCAAGAAACTGAAGGGAGGAGTTAGAGATGGACAAGGTGAAGGTGAGAACGTGGTGGAAATTGGAAGCGAAATTGACTAAATTTTCCAATTCCAGATGAGAGAGGGAAGCAGCACCAATGATGTCATCTATGTACCGAGCAAAATTTGCAGATGGGGTCCCAAGTAGAAGGAATAAGGAATGTTCCTCATATCCCACAGTGACAGACTTAACTCGTGTTCCCACCCACAACCATTTGTCCGGTACATCGATGACATCATTGGTGCTGCTTTCTGGGCAGACTGGGTGATGAATTTGCAGAACACCTACGTTCTGCAAAACTGACCCTGAGCTCCCTGTTGCCTGCGACTTCAACACACCACTGTGTTCCCTGGCTAACATCTGTCTCAGGCTTGCTGCAGTATTTCAGCAAAGCTCAGCGCAGGCTGGAAGAACAGCACCTCATTTCCCACTTGGGAACCCTGCAGGCTTCAGGACTCAATATCCAAGTTCATTAATTTTAGGGCCTGAGTACCTTCTCCCATGTCCTTACTCCAACCCCCATACACCAGGCCATGTAATCACATGGGCTGCTACTACAAACAACCCGTTGTCAGCCACTAATGGTCCGCATTAACAGCTGTTGATTTTCCCAGGTTGACCTGTAACCATTCCTTTGTCTGTCCAACTGTTTTTTTTCTCTCTCTGGATTCCATCACCACCTATTGTTTACTCCTTCCCCATCTTCAGCATATATACCAACCTTTTCCTAGCCATAGTCAGTTCTGAAGAAGGATCACTGGCCCCAAAATGTTAACTCTGTTTTCTTTCCACAGATGCTGCCAGACCTGCTGAGTTTTCCCAGCAATTTCTATTCCTGTTTCTGATTTCCAGCATCTGAATTCTTTGTTTATTTTTACTAAATATTTTATGGGGTTCAGGGGAAGTGTCAGGCTGACCACCTCTCCTTGGACCTATTGAGGCTCTTAAGTGCCCAATAATTAGTTCATCAGAGCAACATCTTGGCCGAACCATCGTCAGCTGCTTCACCAGATACCTACCTTTTCATCATGAGATCAGAAGTGGAGACTTTGATTGGTTGTACAATGTTCAGGATGAAATATTCTTCAACAACAAAAACAAAGTTGCCGGAAAAGCTCAACAGGTCTGGCAGCATCTGTGAAGAAAAATTCAGAGTTAACGTTTTGAGTCTGGTGACCCTTCCTCAGAACTGAATAATATGTGTTGATGATTAACTTAGAAAGTCAAGAAAATTAAAAGGATAGTTAAAATAAGTGTAGGTGCTCAATACAGGCAGTAGTGGAAATAATAAAAAGATAGTGTAATTGTATTTTATTCTGAAGGAAATGTTATGCAAGCGCTATATTCCATCTAATTTTGTGGTTCCTGTGCAGAACCTCTGCATAGCCTGAGCAGTTTATTCAAACGAGAACATCCATTGAATGGTAGTCATATGGCAGTTTTTTTTTCTCAGTGTGTTCATTAACTAATGAAAATGTACAGTTATTATTTTTCAGTTGCAGGTATTCTACCCACAACAATAAACAAAATTGTTTGTGTGGCACAGAAGTCTGGTGAACTATTTAGTGTTGGCACTGTGCACACCAAGTATAATACACGATCAAAAGATGACACAGATAATTTTTTACTCCTTTTTGTGCCTGTCTGGATCTTTTGCCCTATGACTATATACTATACCCAGATTGGTATTTTGTCCAGATGGAATGTGAGATTTAATTCGCATCAAGTTGTCCAAGTGGTCTATTTCTGGACCTGGATTTAATTCTTTAGTCTAAATCCATACTAAGTCATCACTTGATGCCTGAATTGTTGCACAAATATCCAGAAGAATGTACGTTCTTTGAAACTGGGCGTCTTTCAGGGCCTATTACACCAAATCACTGACTATCTGAATGCAATTTTCCTACAACCATAAATCTGAAATCAGAGTATTGTTCGCATATCCTTTGAGGCCACACTTTTTTTAATAGTTTGGTGTAAGAGTGGAATCTTTTTATTTGTTGCCAAACACATTCTTTACCAAAGTCGTAATCCATTGTCACTCCAGTAACATGACACTCCAGTAATCTTTTTTGGAAGTTTGCTATCGAGATGGTCACATTGCTGTTGAATAAATTGAAGGATTATGGCAGCTGCTGTTCCTTCACTGTTGCTGGCTCAATATCCTCGAATTCCCTCCCTGAGGACATTATGGATCAACCTGTAGCATGTGGACTGCAGCAGTTCAAGAAGGCAACTCACCACCACCTTCAAGGGCGTCTCAGGATGGGCAGTAAATGGTGGCCAAATAGCGATGCCCATATCCCATGAGTGAATAAAAAGTAAGTATCAACTTCACTGTCCAGAGCAGTCAGAAACTTGTTATCTTCATAGGCATTCACCTATAGAGTCTTCAGTTTATCAATCTTGACATTTGTAAATTACATAGCTTTGATTTCTCTGAAAGAATTTGCAGAATGATGCCAATTCACCAAGAATGTTGTTTAGAACTTCCAGTGCGACCTGAGAGCATTTGCAGGCAATATTTCATTGGATTGTTTTACTCACTTGCTCTGAACAAGTAGTTGATCAAGACATTGTATTTTAGCATTAGTGCACTTACTGCAAAGTCTCAGTTCAGGGGTCAAAATGCCAATGCATCACACTCTGTGACTTTGGCAAATACTTCAAATTATCCTTTCTTCATGCTTGACCTGCTGTATTTGCTGTTCTAGTAAGCATTTTGATATCCCTCATATTGAGACCTGCTTCCAAGCATCATGTGTTGTAAGATCTCCTCTGTGAGCAATGCAGTGCTGTTAAGACAAATGCTTGATATCATTTAGCAGCATTCTGCTAATTCATTTTTCTTTCTAAGCATAACAGCAGCTTCATCTGATAGAAAACATCAAACCATCTGTAAATCAAGCTCGCCATTATCATAAAATTACATGATTGCTGTCACAATGGAGATGCTATCACAAGCAGTCAGTTTCAAAATTCTTGCAGAGATAATCCTGTTAGCATGTTTGGATCCTGGTCAAAACTTGATGTACAAAATCAACAATTTTTTCTCCTGAAATGTCTGCTCTTGTCTACAATTAATGAATGAAAATGCATTTTGCAAAATTCACCCAGGAACTGTTTCTGTGAAATGAAGTTACTGCACTCCCACAAATTCGATGGCGCAGTACTTCTTACAGTAGTTCTCAGTAATTGCTGTGTACTTTGCCACATGATCATGAATGTCTTGCATCGAAAGTGTGGACACATTCATCTTTACTGCAAGTATGACAATATCAATTAGAACTTTCACTTTATCGGGATTGATTTTATTGCTCGAGCAATGTATACTCCACCCTCATCTTATAAACTCCTGGTGTTTTGGTAAGCTTACATAAAATTCCACCTTTTTGTGACTTCGTAAACTAATACGGGAATCCACACACACTTTCTGGTTCAAATGCTGCTTTAGGTAGTCCAATTTCCATTCAGACCAATTTTTCCAATGCTGAACTCACCTCCAGTATTTGGTTTAGAGTTGTGAAACTGACCATGTCACATGGACTAAGTGAAGATCTCACTGAGTTATGCCTTTTTATTGTGTTCACGGTGATCCTGGAAAGCCACTCGTCCTTGAAATGTAGCTTAATTAGCCTAAAGACTTTGTTGCTTTTCTTTTGAACATACGTTAAACTTGTCAGGAAGCGTTTAGGGTACTTGTGTTATGTCCTTCTGGAATGACCACCTGCTTTGTTGACCCTGTTCTGCCTGAACTTTCTGATCTCTGCAAACTGTAAACTGAACTCCCTGATCCTAGAACTTTTGAGTTGTGGACATTTTTCCTTTCCCTGAGCCAATCCTCCGCTGCTTCCTCGTTTTGAACTACCGTTGGATTAAAAGCAAGAAACTCGGATGCTGTAGAAGTGGCTGCATGGGCTCATGATTCAGAAGACTTGAGCTTTGTGTCCACAGGGTGCGCAGAGGATCATGGGATGTGTGCAGGTGTGTTTTTGCTCCATTCCATGGCCACACATCTGTGCAGATTACAGGAAATTTTGTACGAGGGATAATGTGGAGAGAAAAAATGCCCATAAATTATCTCAAAAGCAATAATTATCCAGATATCAATGTTCATTCAACAAAAAGTTGAGAATTGATCTCACTAGTATGAAGAAAACCTAGGAAAGAGATTTCTAAACTAAACATAGGTTGACACAAGTAACTAGTTGTCAGAAATCTTAAAAGAGAAATGCTTGTCTCAAAAAAAATTGTTAGATGGTAGAGCATCAAGAGGAAGGCCATCTTGTGTAATGATAAGAATATGGAATATTGTGTTTTAAGAATATTGTCACTTTTTTCCTTGAATTACTTTGTAATTATTTCTACATATGGAAACTTTTTTCTTGTGAAGAACGGGAAATCTGGGAGCTGATTGGGTATTCTAATGTGTGACATAGAAGAGAAAAGCCTGTTTTACTTATTTGTATAGATTTAGATTATTATCATAAGTTCAGAATTTTAAAAAATGAACAATGCCTGATTCGTCACATTTAGGTTTGTTATTGTCTTTATTTAATGTTAAGAAGGAACAGGTAGTTCCTGTTAATTGTCTGAAAACATAGGGAGCATAGTAACACAAGGAGATGGAAGGAGCAGTAAATAGTACATAAATTCTATCCTCAAAGGATAGTATCTTGTTTTTCTGACTTGCTGTTTTGATCCATATTGACAGTTTGATTTTTTTTCAAATTTTAGGTTAAATTCAGTGAGTTAACTATTGACATGTTCAGAATGTTGCAGGCTCTAGAACGGGAGCCCATTAATCTGGCTTCGCAATTAAACAAGACTGGAAATCAGGTGAGTGAAGGTGGCTGAACTTTTAGATCATTGGTTGAACATGGAATCTAGTTCTAAATTGTAAAATAAATTAAACCTGAGCCAAATGAAGCTATTTTCTTAAGATATTGATTTAAACAAGTCATGTTTATTGGGATTCTATAACATCAGTTTCATGCACAGCAAATATAGCTCGTTGATGTTACATGGTTTTGTTTATCCATGCAACATGGTTATAATGGGTGGGATCTTAGGGATCTAGGTGCCGTGAACTATGCTGAGATGTTTGACAGAATCAAGCAGAAAACCTGGTGAAGCCTATCTTGACAGCAGGAGCAACTTGCTCCACCTTTCGTATTTTTCACAAGCAACATATCCCTCTAGGCAGCAGTGGAGATTTATAGATTCACAAATGCCTTGTTGACAGCACAATGCACCTCATTAATATTCAGCTTTATATCTTACTAAACTACCAAGCAGGCACAGTTTGATAGAACTCGATATGGAAACCAGTGGTTATCTGACAGGTTCAGCTTACCACTCATTATGAGCAACCTCGATGTGTGCACAATTGACACTGCATTTTAGGGTAAGATCGATGGCCACCAGCTGCATGCAGCCCTCATTAAAATACAATAGCATATGGTATCCCTCCGATATATGGCCTGTTGCTCCCGAGGCACAAACTTGAATTCCAGGGCATATCAACAGTTAGCATTGAAAGACTGTGGCAAGGATGCTTTCTGCTTTGCATTGCCTTGCCATGCTATATTTGTAAGCATTCAGGCAGTATCAAAAACACTCTGTTGTTTTGAGGTGAACATTTTGGAGACACACAAACAGGCTACTCATCAATCTTGTCAGTAAGGATCTGACTGGTGAGTAGGGGGACATCTTGCTGTATGGCCCATCAAAATGTCATTCTAATACCTATGGCATATGCCAGCTGCCTGCATGGTCAACACACTGCATGGTCATTTGACCAAATGGCCATATCAGAAACTGGATCGGGACTAGTCCTCTGTACTATTAGGATTTTGGAGGGGACATCCCAGTACCGTCAGTCATGGGCATAGTCTGCAGAGACTCCAAGGGCTTTGCTATGTTCAGACCACTTGAGATGCTCATGGTCAGAGTAACTGTCCCAGTACAGCCCAGAAATTGTTAAGCAGCCTGTCCTGTCAGGAGAGCATCAGAAGTCAGGAGAATCGCACACTATCAGTCAGGGAGCTCCAAAAACAGCCATCAGGGTTCTGATCAGTCATGCCCAGGGGCTGTTTGTCACTCAGTCAGAGATCTGGGATGAATGCATACAGTCCTGGGTGTTCATTGATCATTTGAGGACGGGTGAAGGGAGGGGCCCGTATAGGGGCAGCAGAGAATCATTGCCAGAAAGAATAGATAAGTCTAGGCTGGAGGAAATGGAAAACGTAGGCATTTGTAGAGGGTAAGAATGGTGATTAGGAATCTCAAAGTGACTGGGGGATAAGTAGGACAGCGTCGCAGGGCACGGTAGGCTTTGGAAGGAGCGACTGGGGGTCCCTTGGTTAGTGGCAGTGACCACCGCTATAGCCTCCACACTGGGAGTATAGGTTCCAAGGGTGGACATCACTGAGGTGTAATGTCGGGGTTCAAGGGCAGAGAGGATAGTTGTAGGTGAAGTTCAACATGGTAGGACCCCATGTCCAGTGGATACGCGTTCAAATGGGCTCTTGAGGTAGCGTGAGTTACTAGAGGACGTGGAGGCTTTTGGGCATATCTGGCAACCAAGTGGGGCCTGGTGCTGAGGGTGTCTGTCATGTGCTGTGCCCCCTGCCATCACTTTTCATTTTCTATACATGAGGTGTTATAAGAAAATGGCTGGAACAAAAGCCAGGGAGCGCAGTGTGTCATTTTGAATGGCAAAAATGTCGCAACAATGTTTGCTGAGTGCTATGACATTGTAGCAACAGTTGCATGAAGCAGTCATTTTCAAGGCGCAGCTACATTTAATCTGCAATGATCTCATCACTCATTTGCTATGGATGTAGAGTGAGAGTGCTTCAAGGTCAGATGCTGGTCCAAGGTGATTTACTACTCGCCATTGGGATTGCTTATTGAACTTGGGCATCTCAATGGTAGTGAGCAGCAACACATTACAGAAAGGCTGAAGTGGAAGCCCTGTTGATCCAACATCCAAGGGTCCTGAGTTAGCCACACAATAATGCTCCCTCATCTATCACACATGTGTCATGATAGTCTGTAGTGAATGCAATGAAAAGTTGAGCGTTCAATGTGAACCCAGAGTAGGTAGTATTTCAGAGTGTTGTAGACACTCTCTTCTGGATGATATTGGAAATCGCCTTCGAGTTGGTCACATGTTGAGTCTGAATATGGATGGATGATGGGAACATGTCCTTTGTTATCCATGCACAGCACGTCTCACTGTGTGGTGAAGTGCGCTCAGTCCTTATCTGCAAGGCATGCTACTGATTACTGTTCTGTGGCCTAAGAAAATCTTTTGCCCCCAAATTAGGTCCCTTCCACCATGAGTGATGGGTCCTGCCGCTGATAACATGTTGTTTGCTTTGGCTGCCTACCTAAGAAAATGAAGACAGATGCAGGAGGAGCAGGGCTGATGTCAAACCCAGGAGTAGCAGCCGGCCACTGTTAGACTACGAGAAGTCATAAAGTCACAGGGTTATACAGCTTGGAAACAGGCCCTGCAGTCCAACCAATCTATGCCAAACATAATCCCAAACGAAACTAGCCCCACCTGCCTGCTGCTGGCCCATATTCTTCCAAACCTTTCCTATTCATGTACCTATCCAAATATCTTTTAAATGTAATTGTACCTGCATCCACCACTTCCACAGGAAGTTCATTTCACAAGTGAACAGCCCTCTGTGTAAAAAAATATTGCCTCTCATGTCTTTTTTAAATCTCTCTCCTCTCACCTTAAAAATGTGCCCCCTAGTCTTGAAATCCCCCATCTTGGGGAAAAGACAACTATCATTAACTCTATCTTTACCTCTCATTATTTTATAAACTTCTATCAGATTGCCTCTCAACCTCCTACGCTCCAGTGAAAAAAGTCCTAGCCTATCTCGCCTTTCTTTCTAACTCAAACCTTCCATACCTGGCAACATCCTGGAAAATCTCTTCTCCAACCTCTCCAGCTTAATAATATCCTTCCTATAACTGGGCGACCAGCACTGGACACAGTATTCCAGAAGTGGCCTCACCCATGTCCTGTATAAGCTCAACATGACTTCCCAACTCCTATACTCAGAGACTGAGCAATGAAGGCAAGTGTGCCAAATGCCTTTTTTAACCAGTTTGTCTATATGTAACTCAGACTTCGAAGAATTATGTACCTGCTCTCCTAGGTCCCTCTTTTCTATAATACTACCCAGGGCCCTACCCATGTTTGTTGTACCAAAATGCAATACCTCGCATTTATCCAGATTGAACTCCATCTGCCATTTTTCAGCCCGTTGATTCATTTGATCAAGATCCCTTTGTAATCTTAGAAAACCACCTTCACTGTCTACAATGCCACCAATTTTGGTGTCATCAGCAAACTTACTAACCATGGCATCTATATTCTCATCCAAATCATTTATATAAATGACAAAGAAAAGAGGACCCAGAACCTAGCCCTGTTGAACACTGCTGGTCACGGGTCTCCAGTCTGAAAAGCAATCCTCCATCAACACTCTGTCTCCTGCTGTCCAGCGAATTATGTATCCAATTGGCAAGCTCACCCTGAATCCTATGTGACCTAACTTTGCTAATTAGTCTACCATGCGGAACCTTGTCAAAGGCTTTACTAAAATTCAAATAAACAATGTCTACTGCTATGCCATCATCAATCTTTTTGGTAACTTCCTCAAAAAACTCAATCAAGTTTGAGAGACATGATTTTGCTTGCACAAAACCATGCTGTCTATCCCTAATCAATTTTTGCCTCTCCAAATGTCCATAAATCTTTTATAATCACCTCCAACAACACAACTGAAGTCAGACTCACAGGACTATAGTTCCCCAGTTTTTCCTTCCAACCTTTCTTAAACAAAGGTACAACATTAGCCACCCTCCAGTCATAAGGCTCCTCACCTGTAGTTATAGATGATGCAAATATTTCTGCAAGGGGTCTCAGTTTCCTCCCTTATTTCCCACAGCATTCTGGGATGCATTGGATGAGGTCCCAGAGATTTATCCACCTTTATATTCTGTAAGACCTCCTGAACGCCCTCTTATGTAATGTGAACTGTT